TGATGACGATGGAAGAGATGCACAAAAGCCTTTTGTAACCAGCTGATACACTTTCTACAATATGTAAAGGAGGAGTTGTAAAATAAATAAATAAAATTTTTTTATAATAAAAACATGATTTAAACTGATGGCTGGAGAGGAATTCATTTTAAGGAGAGCAGAGACCTCCAAATGCTTCAGTAAAACCATAATTTGTATTGCTGCTTTCCCATTTCTTGTGGGAAGGGGATGAAAGTGACAAGCACACCACTCCTGTGCCATGCACATGGCTCAATGTCCTTGGCAGCGGAAGAGCCCACATTGGCTACTGCTGCCACATCTATTGGGCTCCATCCCGCCCTGGACAAAGGCATGCAGATCACAACCACACAACTCAGAAAAACAGCCACATGACCTGAAGTTACATGCAGAGTTGGATGCCAAGCCCCCAAACCCCTCACATCCCCAGCCACGAGAGCATCTGCAGCCATAGCCTACCTAAGGGCTACCCACCAGGTGGGTCGGGCAAAGGCCTGGCCTGATTGGTCACGGGGCCACTTATTCCATCAGCCAATCAGATGCCTGAGGTTTCCGTTGGTGCCGCCCACTTGCGGCTGGTCCTCGCGATGATGCTGGAGTTGTACCTGGACCTGCTTTCTCAGCCTTGCAGGGCAGTCTATATCTTTGCCAAAAAGAACAACATCCCTTTCATGATGAAGCCTGTTGAGATGCTGAAAGGTGGAGTGGGGTGAAGTTCCCCTGCAACCCCCCTTTCTCCCTCCCCTTTCCTTCCCCCCATTCTTCTCAAAGCTCCCTGCCTCAGGGTCCCCTTGAGGCTCCCCACCACCTCCAGGAAGTTTCAGAGGTGACCAGCAGCGCCTGAGGGATGTCTGGAGGCATCTCCCCATTTGGTGGAAACAGCTATGTGCCTTGACACTGCTGGGGATGCAACATTCTGTCCTCCCCATGGAGCAGACTCCAGCTACCCCATCCACCCTGTCTGAGGCACTGGAGGGGCAGACAAGAAGCCTGGAAGTTCTCCAAGATCTTGGAGCCATTGGGGGTCTTCCCATCCTGATGCTTTCTCTTGAGCACAGATATCACGGTGGAGGCCAAAGAGAAAGCGCTTCCCCCAACAACTTTGGAAAGCCTGAAGGCTTTGGGGAAGGAAACAGGGGGAGTGGTGAGCTGTTAGTTTTGTGGATTGCGCCCAGCTAAGGAGGGGAGGAGAAGGTGGGTGGAAAGCCTGTTTTGCATTGGATTCTGAAGTTTTCTTTTTGGCTGACGTAACTTATCAATGCTAGGGCAACACTTCACTGAAGAATTTAACAAGGTGAACATCCTAAGAAAAGTGCCTGTCCTGAAGGACGGAGATTTCATCCTAGAAGAGAGGTGAGGACTCCTGATGATGAGGGGGGAAAGCAGCCACACCCGCTTGGACCAACTGAAAGGTCCCCAGGAGAACAAACAGCATTATTGGCTTGGTGGAAAAGCAGCTGGATTTGTGCCCTCCAGCTGGAATAAAAAGTTCCTTCCAGTTGCAACTGGGCTGGTGACAGTGGCACCCGTGGCTTGAGAGCCAGAAGTGTAAGAGGGCCCCTCCAATTTGGGGCCTCCTGGACACCCGGCCAAAGGGCCAGTTCCCACAAGCTCTCTGCAATGCTGACTGGGTTCCAGCCAACCAAAAGCTAGACCAAGGCCAAAGGGATGAAATCCTGGTCTGCTTCTGCCAATTCCAAGAAAGGGCTGCTCAAATGCACGGGTGTGTGTGTGTGTGTGCACATGGTCAGCTCTTGAAGAAGAAAGCCTGGCCTTCCCTCCAGTGAAGCCACAGCTCAGGGATCTGGGCTGAGCATGGGTTTTTTGACCTAGACTTCCTGATACAGTAAAACACACACAATTAAGTCCAAAAACCCTCTTGGTTGGCAGAATGGCTGACCTTTGGAGCAGAAGGTTGTCTGGACAGAGAGATGATTGGATCCTGCCCCCAGCAGTAGGTTGGGCTTAATGATCTCTTAAGTGCCTCAAAGCAAGCAGTCTTTTTCTTGCCTTGGCTCTTTGTCTTCTGCTCACCAGCACAGCCATCCTTCTCTACCTGACCCGGAAATACAACACTCCCAGCTACTGGTACCCGCCCGATATGAAAAAGCGAGCCCGTGTGGATGAGTACCTGGCCTGGCAGATCAGCACCATTCGGGCGGGTACATCCAAAATCCTCTGGCTCAAGGTGAGACCAGACCTCCTGCTCACTGGCGGTGCAGCCCCCTCCCCCACACTGTCCCTGCAGAGCCTCCAATGTCCCAGGAGGAGTAGAAGGGGAGGCCTGGTTTGGGGGGGGGGCACTTGGGGATGCTGCTTTTCCTACCAAATCCACTGCAGGGGTGTTAAGAGTCAGAGACTGGGGGGGGGGTGCATCCCCACATAGAAGACAGGGAGCCACAGGGTGGCAGTGGAGAAGCAACCTAAGCTTGGAGAGTTGCATGTGCCCCAGCCAGTTTGGCAATGGCTGGCAACTCACAGATATAATGAAGCCCATGCGAAGGACACCCTTGGCAATTAGATCATTTGGGGGTGTTACGTATCCCCCCAAAACATACACTCATGGAGACGTGTCAGTGAGAGGACCGAGGCAGCAGGGGACCATTTCCTGTTTACTCCTGCTGGCAGCAACTCCTCAGATCTTCTGGCACTCTCCTCAGAACAAGGGAGACAGCAGCAAAGGAACCAAACAGCCAACCTGGCAAGAGCCTCCACAGGACCAGCCCTTGGGGGCCCCCAGGGAGCCCCAGTCCCAGCCCAGGTCTCCACACCCTCCCTTGGCACCTGCCTGGGAGAAGCTCATCTCCTCTCCCTCTCTTCTGCATGTCTCTGTGGGGCAGGTGGTGATCCCGCTCTTTGTAGGCCATCAAGTGTCCCCAGAGAAGCTCTATGAAGCAATGGAGGAACTGAATCTCGCCATCCAGAAGCTGGAGGACAAGTTCCTGCAGGACAAGCCATTCCTCATTGGCCCAGAGATCTCCCTGGCCGACCTGGTGGCCATCGTGGAGCTGATGCAAGTAAGCCCCCCCCCCCCAACCCCAATAGCCGACCCCTGCAAGGAGACCCGGAGTCTTCCAAAGCAGACCTCTGCCATCCGCTGTGCCTCCTCTAGCCCTTGGGAGCTGGCTGCGACATCCTTGTGGGACGCCCCAAACTCCAGGAGTGGCGCAAAAGGGTGGAGCTGACGTTGGGGAAGGACCTCTTCATGGAAGCCCACAACCGGATCCTGAACCCCCAGGAATTGAAGAGCATCATCATTGATCCACCCCTGAAAGCACAGATGAAGCCCCTGCTCTTGAAGATGCTGAAATAAACATGGAAATTTATCAATGGAGCTTTCCCCCTCCCTGTTCCAGCTCTTCTTGCATCCTCTGCCCACCACCCCCAGCCAGCCCTGGTTTCAGGTTTGGCTTCCAATGATCCTTGCTCCAAGCCCCTTTCCTTATTGCCTGGCTCACCTCAACCAGGGGAGGCACTGGAATAATTCTGGTTGGCATAAGCATATTACCATCTTCATGGGGGTGGGGTGGGGGGGCTACTGAGCAACTCTCCCCATTCCCAGCTACCCTGTGCAAGCCCAGATTGTGAATGAAGGCTGCAACACAGGTTCAGAATGAATCAAGTACTTTTGCCAACCATGGATACATGTTAGAACTGCAGATTATTCATCTTCAATTGTCTATTGTCCACAATTCTTTAGGAAATGCATATTGTGGAAGCATAATAGAATAAAATCCAGTAAGGAATAAGATAAAATAATTGTCAATAATATTAAATATATCACATGTGGAACAAGTAGCTCCCAAGTTCTAATTCCAAAAGTTTTTCTTAACACTTGGGAATGGAAGCCTCAACCGGCCTAGGAAGTCTCTCAGCAAGAGCCCCCACCAGCAGGCAAGAAACTCCTATATCTCATGGGATGGGAGAACATCTGGAGGGTGCAGAGACCCTAAGACCAAGGCAGCTTTCAAGGGTTAGAGCTGTCCCGGGAATGAACTGGTTTGATCTTCCGTGTGATCAGATTGGCCAGATCTCTGCTGAGCTGGTTTAGACAAACAGAGTTCTGTGGGCGTGGCTTGGTGGGCGTGGGAGGGGAAGGTTACTACAAAATCCCCATTCCCTCCAGATCAGCTGGGACTCGGAGGCAGAGAATAGATGGGGGCGGGGCCAGTCATAGATAGTGTTTGCCGGTTCTCTGAACTACTCAAAATTTCCGCTATCGGTTCTCCAGAGCTGGTCAGAACCTGCTGAATGCCACCTCTGGAACAGACACTTTCTATCATGTGGCAGCGATCCAAAGAGGGATTAACATGGAAGTGGCCCCTCAGCCCAGCAAGGCCCTTGAGGAACTATGTGGGAGCAGACGCAAAGCAATCTGGCCTGTTTCAAAACATGCCAAATGATGCACCTAAACCTTTAGGGCACTACACAAGCTCCCAGAGTTTGGTGTAACCTTGATTCCTGGCAATTATTAATGTTGCAATTTCTGAAAAATGGTGGCATGGTTGTTAGCCAATCTACAGCAGGAAACAAATGAAAATTACAAATGCAACCCCCACTCTCATTTGTGGTCTTAGAAACCGTCAAACAATCCCTGCCCATCAACCTCACCCCACAGTGCAGCTTCTCCCACTTTCCATTATCCCCCCCCCCCGTGCATTCACCCAAGCTATTAACCCTCCTGTTCTGCTGTGATAGGACAAGGTAGGCAAGAAGTATACAGGTGAAGGTACAGGGGGAGGATCTTCACAGGCTGTAGGTGTGGTGAAGCTGATGAGAACAACACAAGTGTTTTTTCAACAACTTTGCCCACAGCTCAAACTTGCTCTAGGCTGGGATTCCACGTGAATCTCTGCCTCGGTTGTTCACTCTGGAAGGTAGAGAGCTGAAGCAATCTTATCATGAATTGAGTCTGAACAGGGGAGACACACAGAGCATGAACAAGTTCAGTACTTTGGTTTATTTTTAATTTAGCAGTAAAGGTCTGCATGATGCTCTGTGTCACGCCCCACTCCATTCCATAATTAGGAAAGAAGACCAAGAGACTCCATGGGTTGGAAATCCAAAGTACTTT